TAATGTTGTGAAATGGTTAAAATGAGCAATAAAGAATCAATCAAATCAAGCTAGGAATAATGGCCTTTGGGTGGCATTGCTGGTTAGAGCTTGAAGCCCATGTATGGTTCAGTCCACTTAATTTTCCAAAAAAAGAAAATATAATAAAATTTTCACCAGCATTTTTCTAATTTTTTTTTTTTTTACTAAACGGGCCTATGCTTTGGGTGACTCCACAGATTACTCCCCCACACTCCCGGCTGATGGCCTCATTGGACTCCTTTTGTTTCTTCTGTAACATAATCACACTTGTAAACTACTGTTTGCACTCACACTTTAACTGCTATGGCGGATAATCACTAGCGATTAAATAACACAGAGCGGCCAGCTTACCAACAGGGCTATATTTGAAGATCACATGAAAATAGTTCACCTGCATGAGAGTCTTGATAAACGTGTCTTACGAAGTGGATGAATTGTGTTTGGCTGCGATTAGATAAGCAGCTGATAATTTCCATGTCTATCTGACTCCAGGTTTCTGACTTCTTATCTAAGGGAGCTGCTAATCTGACTCAGACAAGAAGACCAGGCAGGTGCAAGGCTATCTGCAGGAGTTAAAAAACATGATTAAGGCCATGATAGCGCATTTGCATAAGGCGATCATCTTACATCACAGAACAGAGGACATCAATCAGCAAAGACATCTGAGGCATGGTCTCCTGAGGACAGAAGGTCAGCTATGAAGTCACCTTTCACCTACTCTATCATCTTGTGTTCTTGACTATCAATAATGACCGTCGCTGCACATTAGTACTTGTCAGCTTTGATCAGAAAAGGGCAAATCGTTAAGGTAAGAAATTGACCCAGAGATTCCACCGCAGAACGCTTTATAAGACTCGTCCCTTTAACTGTAACTGATCCTCCTACTGTCGTGTAAGTACAGCAGGACTTTCACGGACTAAAGGTCCTGAAGGCGCAGGGGTAAGGTGAGAACGCTCTGCAATGTCGAAGGAAGCCAAGTTCTAACTCACAGCACAGCCTAATGCCGGCCATCAGCTGACTAATCACAATCCAGAGAGGAGTGGGTGATGGCTGAATGCATCGCAGGTACACACACGCAAAAATAATGCAGGTTGGCCCAAAAACATTGTCGATGTAAATCATTTGGTATCCCTCGGTCGAGCTAGGCAAAAGGCAACACATTTCCTGGAACTGAGTTTGAATTATCCGGGAAAAATCAGTCCTGTCCTCACTTGATAAGGAAATTGTACTTGCACAAATAGACCCCGTAACACATTCAACGATAACATACTACAATAAAGGGTAGATACAGACAGCTGAGTGTCTTCCCCATTTCGATAGCCAATGCAGAATGGAGATCAGACATTTTTATAATAGGCAGGGTTTGAATCTAATAGGTATCAATTTGGTCCATTAGTTTAGTAAATCACAAGACAGAATATTAATATCGAACTTATCGCTTGCGATTGCCAACACGGACGAGCAACATGCACAACATATATCATAGTCACAGCTTTGTCTCTTGCAGATATATTATTTTCCAAACCAACTCTGATCACTGCAGTGTCTTGATTGTTGAAGACAAATTAACCACTTAATAAAGCTTGATTGATTAGCAATTTATGTTGTGTATCATACATGTAGCGTTCATGTTTGTGTAAGTGATTAATGTGGGTGTGGGTGTGTTGTGGTGTGGTTGTGTGTTTGTGTGTGTGTCGTGTGGTAGTATGTGTGTTGTGTGTATATGATGTGGTGCATGTGTGTTGGTGTGTGAATAAGTGTGCTGGTTGTGTGTGGGTGTAGAGAGTATTGTGTCTAACAACAGGTGGTGCCCTGACCATCCTTCCCAGTTGATGTGGTGGCAGGGAACTGGACGCCTGCTGGAGGGATGACCACGACGCACTTTGCTGCCCTACAGGAATGTGAACTCATTAACATTGATGGTAATACAGCACCGCTCATTAAACAAACTACATCACTTTTCACTGAGATTAAAAAAATAAGAACATGTTTACATAAATATTATAGAATATGTGAGATCGGAGTACAGGTAAATATAAGAAGGATAAATATTGCACACACATATTCTATAACTTAATAACGTTCAATAATTAGGTACCTGACTGGTAGCAACATAAATCTGAAGGTACTGCTCTGCCTTCGTACAACTGGTGGTTGTGTCTTTTCTCCGGTTTTGACTTTGGTAACCTTAAAAACCTGATTGTTGTTGTGTGTAGATTGATGTTTAGTGTGCTATTCCAGAGGCTGATTGCCTTTCTGGCATGCGCCGCTTTGGTACGAAGAGAGCCTGACCTGCAAAAACAAACAAGGTAACACAATCTACCTTGGTCTCACATTTTAAACCCGCGGCCTCATCACCGAAACAGTCGACGTCCATGTCCAGGGATATCTGTAACAGACCTCATCCAGCAGAAGGTAAAATAGGCTGCGTGCAAAACACATGCAGACACCAATGAAGCTGCTTAAATGGATGTCTGTCTTTGGTTAGACTGTGCAGTTTTGGTACAAAGCCAAATGAAGTCACTTGCAGTCATAAATAATGCAGAAAAATAAGAGATTGAAAATGTAATTATAAATTAAAAGAAAAAACCTTGAAATACACATTCCTGTGTAGTACATGGATTTTTTTCTTTATCTCAGATAAATCAAGGGTGTTTTTTTTGTAATATGCAATTTAAGTCTTGTATTATTAATCACAATTTTACTCCTCTCTTTTTCTATCTTGGCCCAAATACGAGATAAGATGCACAAAAAGATCGAATTAGGTTAGACAGGGCAAAGCAGCACATTGTATGGTTTTTTTAACTTAATAGTCAGCAGTAAGCAATTTCCCACATGGTATAGCAAGAGAAGCTGATAATAGAGTCGGTGGCAGTGATGATGTCCTTTTGTATGCCGACCTCGAAGATAGAGCCCCAAAGGCTAGCACAACTAAAAGCAATGGGATTTTTCCATTGGAATTTGAAATAATCGGAAAGAAAGATACACAGATGAAAACAAGACACAAGATTTATGTGACGTTTTTCGGACAGCGAGATAGGTTCTACATATTAACACCACATTTTTTTGTAGTTTAGGCTATAATGCTTAATACTTAACATTAGGCTGTAAACAAACTAAATAACATTTGCGTCCTCACCACATGCTAAACTTAAATGCGACTTTTTTAATAATAATGAATAGGCTGGAATTATAGAGAGCGCCTTAACATGGGACCCAAGGCGCTTACAAAGAAAAACAGAGTAAAAACAAACAAACAAAAACAAGAGGCAGTCAGACACCAGTCAGACAGACAAACAACAATAGATTAGGGGGCGAAGGCCTTAGTAAACAAGATGGGTCTTGAGGGCCCTTTTGGAGCGCAGCGTGGGGATGTTGGCGGATCTCCGCAAGGTAGAGCGTTCTCGAGGCTATGGGGGCTGCCACACTGAAGGCTCTGTCCCCGAAGGGTTCGCAGTTTGGTGCGGGGGGTGGAAGCAGGCCAAAGTCTGAAGACTGCAGTTCTGGGGTGGGGCATGTGGCGAAGGATGTCCGACAGGTACTGGGGGGCATGGGCATGGAGGACTTGTAGGGTGAGGAGGATGACTTTGTAACGTTTTATGCGGGGATGACCGGCAGCCAGTGAGGTGGATGAGGGTGGGAGTGATGTGCTGCCACGGCCTTTGAATGTGTGAGTACCCTAGCAGCACAGTTTTGAACATACTGGAGCCTGTCCAGGGTTTTGTTGGGAACCCCAAACAGGACACCATTGCAGTAGTCCAAGCGGGAGGTGACGAAAGCATGGACTAGGGTTTCTGCAACTGACTCCGAGAGTGACGGTCGGAGTCTGGCAATGTTCCTTAGATGGAAAAAGGCTGATTTGGTGACAGACTTGATGGGAGTGGAAGGAAAGAGTGGAGTCGAGGATAACACCCAGGTTGCGAGCTTCAGGAGATGGGGAGATGGAGCAGCCGTCATTTGATGGTAAAATAGCTTTTCTAACTTGCCACATTAAAGTATCTCCATCATTCTTCTTCAGGTGGACACCAGGTCTAACTTTGAGTGGCAGCGGCAGCTACGCTACTACTGGGACCTGGACCAGGACACCTGTGTCGCCAAAATGGCTCTGTCCACTTACATCTATGGCTATGAATACCTGGGAGCCTGTCCTAGACTGGTTATCACACCACTCACTGTAAGTAGCACATTAATACACATGGGTAATGGTACTGAGACACAAGCAGACCTACAGTATACTGTAGATGCCTAAGACACTCCCAACATTAATCAACCCCCTGTAAACCCTCCTAGCTACCAAACCACTGTATAGTGTGGAACAAAACACATATTTTACCATTTCTGCCTGTCACAATTTTTACATCTCAATATAAGATTTAAGAAAATGTATATCTTACATTTGCTATTTAATCTTTTCAGTGTGCGCTTAGGCCATGACCAGAAGTCAATAAGTGGCCTTTCTGCATTTTTAAACATATATTTATTCATAGGTTAACACATAACACAACAAGTTACCTGGCCCAGAGGGAAGCCCAGGGTCCCCTTCTGGAGCCAACCCGACTCCGGATGAGTGGTTGAAGATGGATGGTGGTCTAGAAACACTTCTATTATTGCAGTGTAAATTGCAATCTATCCCCTTTTGGCCCGCCTTACATTTTCTGTACATGACAAACATTAATAAATAATTGTGCTACAGCAGCTAAACGTATATATATATATACCTGTATCATAGTTTGTATCACTGTTAGTCAAACTATCCTTTCTCCCCCCATCCCCAGGACCGTTGCTACCTGTGTCTGATGGGAGCTCTCCAGCTGGACCTGGGAGGGGCTCCAGCTGGGCCAGCGGGGACGGGCAAAACAGAGACCACCAAGGACCTCGCTAAAGCTATGGCTATTCAGTGTGTGGTCTTCAACTGCTCTGACGGACTCGACTACAAGGTCAGCCACGACAAACCATATTCATCTATAACCCACATCCTTTCATTCAGGAATTTGTACCTCCTTTTTTGCCATCCCCCGCACTTATTTATATGTGAACCAATGGATTAGGATTTACTTGGATATTTTATTTAAGTAATACTAGTCATATCACAGTGTAAAAAGACACTGTTACATAAAATCATCAAAAGATGAATAATGTACCAACATTTTAAGTCAGATATTAAAGAATAACCAAATTAAAATGACATATTTATACTTTACTATTGTATTATGAATTAATGTACCGGTATGTGTATACAACTTTAATATTGCAGATGGCTAATTTTAAATATTATGTATTTAATATATTTCTTTATACAAAGCTTGGAAGATTCTGAATTTCTACCTTGGGATAAATACAGTCTTATTTCAATATTAATATCATTATCAGTATCATATACTGTTCATATTTTCTTTGTATTTAATCAGAAAATGTGACTACAAACTGTTCTAATGTAATACTGTTGTAAATGAAATAGAGAAAATAGTGTAAAACTTATATCTTGAGAAGTATCTGAGTAAATAAAAAGTAGCAAAAAAGTCAATTGAATGAAACATTTGAGTATGAATACTTACTCAGTTACTTCCCAGCACTGCTTAATCAAATAGCTCTCATTCTCCCTGTGCCTACTGGGAAATACCACTAGATGGCACTATTGCAATAGCAGTGACGTGCCAGTGACAGGTTTACATTGTTTTTTGCTTCTGAAACATTTATTTTTCCTTTCCTCTATGATCTTTAATTATATTTTCTACAACCAAATTGATACAGCAGCAATTTTACAAGGCATTACACGTGAGTGAACAATAATAAAAACACCAACAAAATCAACAGGCAAAAGATAAATAAACTTATATTTATAGATATATATATAGCTGTAGAGTATCTTTATCTAAGTCATCCTTTTTTTGAATATGTTTCCAACAGTCAAAAAGAATCACAGTGCTGATATTTCATCAGAGTCTAATAACCTTCAATTATGCCAGGGCTGCCAACACTCACGCATTGAGCGGGAGAGTCACGCAATTAACCCATATCTCACGCACTCACGTCACACATGCCTTTCCTCACGCTAAGTTTTCATCCAAAATAAATGTATATAAATATAAAAATAAAGTGAAGGAACAGCAAACCGAGCGGTCTACGAAATGAGACGGTCTTCTGGCTTAGTTCAGTAAAGTTGGAACGATATTGGGAGATTCTGATTTCACGGATCAATAACTCATGAACAAAACGTTATTCAGACACAAATGACGTCTCCTAAGTACCGTGGTAAGGTTGACAACGAACTACAATCAATCACATTTTGATCAAAAAAAGCCAATACATGCCGTCCTCCGAGCTGGACACATTACATTGGTCTCTATCCGCAGCCGGAGAAGAAACGAGTGCTCAGGGACCGTCTGCAAAGTGCAACTCCGAAAAAAGTGAATACAATAATATTCAATAACTATTATACAGCTTATTACTACCAAACTCACCACACACACATCAATAGTCTCCTGTGTGTCATACTACATCAAGGAGTTTGGAAGAATATGCTTTTGAATAATTTTGGGGAATATTTATAATGTAAAATCTTCAATAAATATGGCATCATCTTCAATAACTTTACTATTATACAGTATATTTCTACCAAACTCACTATTTGCATTGTTGTTGTTAGCATCTGGTTAGCTAGCTGTGCTAACGGATATTAGAAGCTGTTTCTAAAACAAGGAGAGGGAGAGCTCTGTCCTGTCAGACTGAGAGAGATACAGCTCAGTGAGGTAAGGGACTGTCAGAGTGTTTAGATAGTTAACTTTAGCCTAGTTATCTTAGTGGGTCTCAAACGGTTTGGTCACCATTTATGAGAATAAATGAATAACTATATGACAGTAAAACAAGAATACAGTTTAAAAGGGGAGTGATTTGTAAAATATCCATAAAGAAAAAGAAAATCTGTTTACAGTTCTGTTTCATATGGGTGTTGATAGATGTATCCATAGATCTCTTAATGTTGCTCTCAAAATGCACCAGGTTGATGCATTTAACTTCAATATTTAAAAAAGCACATTAATAGCACATTATCTCTGCTTACACCTATATGCCATTTTATATGCTGTGAGCTGATTATCGAGCCTTCATTGTAAGAGTCGCAGGTACACTGTGTATGTGCGTATTCCACTGTAGCGCCCGGTACATTAATGGGAAACCCTAGTTTGTACATGTTCAATACATTTGTAACACTGTACACATGAACGTTTCTTTTTTCGGTTCACCAAAAAAAAAATCTCACTCCAAGCTGAACTCAAATGTTCGCAGCCCTGATTATGCATAAGAATAAATCACTCTTTTATAAGCCCCAAAACATGAAATTGGGGCTTTAACCTTGAGACACTCTCATCGTTTCGATGTGATATTAAACAGTGATTATCTTGCAGTGAAGTTGGATCTTGAAAAACCATTCTCTCTCTGTCTGCTGTAGTTAGCATTAGCGTTAGCATTAGGGTTAGCGTTAGCGTGTGCTGCAGTGGGACAGGGCTTTGATTTAGCACTCTCTCGTTTATGTGTTAGTGTTTTTTTCAGCTCTGCTCCACTGTGGCTTAGCAACATTAAACTGTAACATTTAATTTGGCTGTCCATGAGATATGAATAAGAAGCTGTGTTTTATTAATTCATTAGTTTCACCCATTGGATGAAGTTACAGAACCCAAGTATGAAATATACTAACACTACCTGTCTCCTGCTCATACAAACATATTCTTTGTATTCCCCAGCAAACATGGCAGCATTCTGCATATTGTAGAAAACATTGAAAAGCCTAAATCACATCTCTTTTAATTTTCTTTTACGTTAAAATGAATATTCAGAGAGCTACAGTATATGGCAACTCTTTCACTTGAATAAAGGCACTGGTGGCCCAAATTCATCTTTTAAAAAATAGAAGTCGAAATGACAACATAAACCTTTTATTATCTGACTAATAATATTTCTGTTTTGTGTTGTCACACTTCTTTCCTCCAGATGATGGGGCGCTTCTTCAGTGGGCTTGCTATGTCCGGTGCTTGGTGCTGTTTTGATGAATTCAACCGAATCGACATTGAAGTGTTGTCTGTCATCGCTCAGCAGCTTATAACTATACGGAACGCCAAAGCTGATAAGGTACATCTAAACACTAGGGCTGCAACAAACGACTAATTTGATAATCGATTAATCTATCGATTAATGAAACGATTAATCGATTATTCGGAACGTTAAGGTTTTAACTGTACTACTACTTATATCAATACTGCTTATCGATCCGGTCCTTTTAACGATAGTATTAACGGTTCTTTTGACAAGAAATAAGGTAAACTAACTCAACAAATTGTGAACAAAACTAACATTGCTTTTTATTTTAATTAAATGCATAATATTTCACATCAAAAGAAACAACAATGTTTTAACAAATCATATTAAATAATGTGATGACAGAACTGTAAACAGAATAGCTGAAACTTTAACAAAATAACTAATTCAGTTACCTCTAATCATTAACCTATGTTTTTATAACTGAGTTAACTCTGTGTGTTGCTGTTAGCATACATAACACCTGACGTGGAAAGGTTACTCTTGGACGGGGCTACAGAGCTACTAGAAAGACAGTCGAACCCGGTGCATTCCTCCGTCTGAATGTGGGTGCACTTTTTGCTTAATTTTAGACAAATTGCTCGTTTTACCGCCTTTATATGAATAAACTGTTATTGCACTTTTGTAACAGCATTGTTCCACATCGAGACGGCTAAAGTTAACCACACCTCGGAGTGCGTTCTCTCCGCACATCTCCTGCGTGGTGTGTAAACTGCCCGCCCCCTCAGCAAGCAGGCGGGGAGAGACTCGCTCGTCTGAATTCGGAAGATCGAAAATACATTTATAAGACGCATTTTGTAGTCATATTGCATATTAGAAACTGAGTTGCGCGACACTCCAGACCTGCGATATAAATGTTTATGTGCATAATACATAACATATGTTTTTAAATGTCTCCTGTACCGATACAAAAGAGCGATAACGTTGGAGCTAACGGGGTGTAGAACACATGTGATGACGTCACCAACCGAATCGACGACTGAATTAGTTGCCAACTAATGGTAATCGATTTTAATCGATTAAGTCGATTAGTTGTTGCAGCCCTACTAAACACACAAACACACACCACTATTGCAATGTCAAAATAATTACGAACACTGCTCCACTATGTTTGATTCAGTGTCAAGTGTTTGCAAGTGGGGTGTATTTTGACGTATTTTATGTTAAGAAAATACCTTAAGTTTGTATAAACCACAGATCTCGTATTTAGGCATCTAATCTAACATTTTTAAAATAACTTTGACTTCCGAGAGGAGGGAACCAGAAATGGAAAATGGCTAACCCATTTATTTTTAGTCCTCATTCCTTGCACACACACTATGTGCTAAGAGCCAACTGAACGGCATTCTGTGAGTCTAGTGTAGCATTCTGTTTTATTCCCATGGAGACCATCAGATCGGAGCCAGCACAGATTCATCAATTAGAATTCATTCAGGTCCATAAATTGCTGCCACACGCAATCAGACTTTCCTCGCTTGCTTAGGACGTAACTCGCACATAAACATTTCCCTCCACTGTTCCATCAGCTGTCCAAAGCTTCATTTGGGGCCGGGAGATCAGCGTGATGACGTGTGCTGCGTTCATCAGCCATCGAACCACGGGATAACGCCGGGAGAACAGACTCCACGACAACCTCAAAAGCTCTCTTCCAGACCTATCGCCATGATGGTGCCCAAGCTATGCCCTGAATTGCTGAGGTAAACCCTGCGTGTGGCCGTTGATTGATTTATGCTGGTTTATTTCTCTTCCAATTGTCTCTCACTCCTTTGTTGTCTCCGCTCTCTGCAGGTGAGTTTGTACTCCGAGGGATTCGAGTCCGTAAGACCCCTGCGAGGAAAATACCCAAATGTACAAAGCTGTGCTCGGAGCGCTGTCTGCAGCAGAACACTACGACTTCGCATGAGAGCCTCAGTCCGTCCTGTGTCATGGCGGGGTCAGGCCACCCACTCATTGCATACACAATAACGCTATAGGAAATCCCATGTATATTATTAATTATTATTATAACACGCTGTGCACTCATACAGAGACCATCCACCTTTTCAGGCATGTCCCAGAAGGACCTTGTACCGTGGGCGCTCACACATGCCGTAAAATACACAAAGTATAATTTAGCAACTATTAACAGAATGCTGATATGTATGCTAAACAGGCACAGTTTCATTACGTATTTGTGCAGAGGCTAGTTTCTCAGTGAGCTTAAAGGTCATGCTTTGCACTGAACCTTCAATATATTATATGCTTCAATATTTAATTCTGGCACAGTGATGTACCATATCAGTTAGGTAACAGGTACAAAATAGAATGTATCTCAAGTAAAAATGATCAAATGCGCAGCAGGCATGCAGCTGAGACCAACTAGCCATCGGTTTGTTTTTCTCCAAGTGAACAATTATGGACGCTGTTTACATATTAATATCTGCTAATATTATCATATGATGTTTCATTGGTAAGCAGGAAACGTTTTTGTTTTATTGTGAAGACTGGCACTTTTTTCAGCAAAGAGGACAGTGGGAGATAAAAGCACAGACTACAAGAGCAGACTGACATGTAAATATATATCTTTTTTTTAAAGGTGGGGTAGGATAATCGCTTCAAAACACTTTGTTTATATTCCATGGAATGCTCTTAACATTCCCGATAGCAATGAGTAAATTTAAATGCTTTGANTGATATGGTAATGATGTAAACCGCTGTTCCTTGAGCCTGCTGTCATCGTACACCACCGTCTATCTCTTTCTGCCTTCTCTCCTTTTACATCTATATTTCTCTTTGAGCGTTTGTTTGCGATCCCTCCATGTTGTTTGTTTACAAATTAGTTATTCACCACCTACAGTCTAAGTGCTGTGAGACATAATGTGATGTAAACTTAGATAGTGTAATAGCTTGTTTGCTTCTCTCTGTCTGACATTCAGTAGGTAAATAATGTAACTCTTAAAGCAGTCGATTACAATGCGCAGAGCAGTACAGCAGATTGATGTAGGCTGCTAAGGGGAGCAAGTCAATAGATGTGTGTGTGTGTGTGTGTGTGTGTGTGTGTGTGTGTGTGTGTGCGCGTGCGTGTGTGTGTGTGAGAGTGTATATATATATGTGTGTGTGTGTGTGTGTGTGTGTGTGTGTGTGTGTGTGTGTGTGGGGGGGGGGGCGCCCCTGGCCAACTTGTTGCCCCACGCAAAGTTATATGATGAGGCCCTCTGTTTTTAGCGAGCGTCGGGGGGGAGGAAGAGATGCTGGAGCCTCGCAGCGGCGAAACGGTGGCGCTCTTTAAACTAGGTGCGCCGACTTTGCGCTTCAAATGAGGCCCTCTCCGCGAGGCCCCACGCAGTGTGTGTGTGTGTGTGTGTGTGTGTGTGTGTGTGTGTGTGTGTGTGTGTGTGTGTGTGTGTGTGTGTGTGTGTGTGTGTGTGTGTGTGTGTGTGTGTGTGGAGGGGGGCGTGAGGCGCAGTGGACTAGTGTGTTGGTGTTCGGATTAGGGGAGCACAGGTTCAAACCCCACTGCAGTCAGCATGTCGTTGTGTCCCAGGGCAAGACACTTCACCCCAAATTGCTCCTGTGGGGATTGCCCACAGTATTGAGTATGTAAGTCGCTTTGAATAAAAGCGTCTAACATTTAATGTGTTTGTGTGTCTTTTCAGTGTTTGCACATGTGCTCTGATAGAAACACAAACACTGAAATATTCAGTGTTGGATTTAGTCAAAGTCACATTTTACAGTTCCTTATTGTTCTCATGGTTTTTCAATCTTCACAGCTCAGTTCCACAGAACTGTTGTATACATTCATAAATGAATGGCCACATATACCTTCAATAATATACCTCAGATATTTATTTGCATTCAAGCTTTTATTTTAAAAAGCAAAAGATTATCTCCAAATGCAGGTGTTATAACATAATCAGATGAATTGATTACTTTTTGTTTATTTATGACCTAATGTGGTGATATAACGCAATACAATATATTTATACTGGGCAACATCGTGTGCCTTTGACGTCCCCAGCCTACACAATGGGTACAGTTAGCAAGAACATACCCATTGTGATGTTTAGAAAAATGTTTTTATGTCTGGGTTGATGGTTACAAAAGAGCATATTCAATGTGAAGGCACAGAGCTACTGCCACCCCCCTCTACCAGCTCCAAATATCAAGGATATTGCTCTCAGAGGAACTGAGTTATGGGTGCATGGCCTCACCTTGGGTAGCACTTTAAGGCTCGGAACCTGAAAAGAACTGGCAGGTCCGTCAACGATAATCTCCAACTGATATAATCCAAGCCAATGCACAGAGAGGTTTCAGTGGTTCCACTGGATCTGTGCTCTCCTTTCTTCGGTTTCTATTAAATACGAGTCTGTCACATTCTACTATCAATTGCCATGTGCCAGAAATCTCTTCTAATGTTGGGTTGAAGAGAGATTGGTTTTCAGCCACTCTGCAGAAACATTTCCTACAGGGAGCGAGGTGCCAGCATCCTGTGATAAGTGGAGTTGCTGGTGGTTCTTGACACCCTTTCAAACGAGTTGTTAAAGCTGTTGGGCAGTGTCTATTTTTTCAGCTTTTATCAATTCTGTCAAAGTGCCTGCAAACCACCTGCAAATACCTCTAAGCACCAGCAACTTTTCTTAAGAGCCTGCTGTCTTTCTAGTGCAAACATCTCACGTTTAAAATCAACTTCATTCACAGAGAGGCGCTACACTTGTCAACTTCTGTTTTCTTTATGTAAATGAACTTACCTCACTTCTCATGAACAACTGTCAAGTTTCAGTGGAAAGTGAGGCGTTTCAGAAAGACTACTTTGTGAAAGCACACTATATGGCTGTTAGACATACTGTATCACTTAGCAGTTTTTTGCATATATTTAGTTGACAATTGCCTTCTTGTGAGAATGCTGGCTAAACAGACTGGCAAAAGTTGGTGCAATTACTCATCCCCTGTGTGCACCATCTGTGTGTGTGAGTACTGCCATGTTACATAATCATCACAGAGAGAACCCTGTACTGAGTCAGACATTGTGTGTGATAAGTGGGATAGCATTGACCCTTTAAGATTGATTAGGATTACCATGGTAGCTAGAGCATGTGGATACAGAATTTAAGTTATTTCGCGTACTGTAATAAGATTAGTTTCTAATCCTATAGATTCCCATTTAACCTGTTCTAATAAGGTTACAGTAAATACCTTTTAGTTTTTTTCTTAGGAGGATTATTGAATGGAATTTACTGTGTTCACATGTGAAAACTACAATGTCTTAATCCTTATATTTAACTCAGTCAGATTTAAAGGTCACATGTCAGGATTTTCCGGTTATTACCCGTCCCCTTGTGTGTTAGGAAGGTTTTTATGCATGTAAACGGTGTGCAGAGTCAAAACCCTTAAAGTACAGCCTGTAGCGAGTAAAACTCTCACAGAAAATACCTCCCCAAAACGCTTCGTTGGTGAAACGTCATCATCCATTTGATTCTTCTGGGTACGTGCTTACGAAAGCACGTACCCGGAACTAAATGGGCCAATCCGTGGAGCCGTTACGTTACGTCCGTGGAGCCGTTACGTTCGTCCGCGGAGCCGTTACGTTAAGCCCCTGCTGATTGGTCCAAATTTACCAATCCACACACACACTCAGTGCATGCAGCTCTGCTGATCTCTCCTCCCTGGCTGCAGGCTGATAACAGACAGTTGGGATCGTGGCGAAATTCTCTCTGCAGATCCATTCTCACAGCGTTTATCAACCTACTGTATAAACCTGTTTTTGCAGCGAGCCGTTTAGTGGAGAAAGTGAATACTGCTGAATACACATACTTTACAGAGATGCTGTATGCGAAACCAATTTGAGTTTGGAAAATTGCACAGTATTTTTCTATTTTAGTATACCTCAACAATGGAATTATGATCAGTGGAAATGGCCACGACATGAGACCTTTAAAGTGTTTCACACTTTGTACTTCTCGTTTGCCCTTCTCAGCCACCGTACTTATGTAGCTGTTTTCCTGAATGGTGACACTTTTTTGTAACAAATTGCATAGCTGTGTTTAATGACATTTTTCTCTTGGCTTGCATAGCTTGGCGACTTGGAGCTCTGGTATTTGGTGATCCCTGGGTTCTGCCTCTTTGGCCTTTTCTGGTCCATCTGCCATATAATATTGCTGATGACACTATGGGGCTTCCACACCAAGCTGAGCGAGTGTCAGAAGGCCTGGCGGGCGCAGCGATCCAGTAGCCGGAGCCTCGACCAAGTCATGGCCTCCAGGGGCATCAGACACTTCTGCCTCATTTCAGAGCGGCTGGTGTTCTTCAGTATTCTGTCAACAGTCACACTGGGAGCTGTGTCCTGGCAGGTAGGAACCACAAACTACCTCAAAGCATCTAAAGATACAAAAAGATAGATAGATAGAGAGATAGATAGGTACTTTATTGAATCCCAAATTGGGAAATGTTTGCGTTGCAGCAGCATAAAAAACACAATGCAATGTACATAAGAGAAATTAAGACACAAGAAATGAACAGTCCAAAGATATTTCAAATATGTTTGTGTTACTCAAGCATGACTATAATAGTGCTTATTAGAAGCCCGGAAACCTCTAGGGTGCAAATCAGAATTGTATTAAAATCTCATCGGTCATGATGGCGAGTGTCCTACTCTAATGTTCCTCCTTACAGCTATAAAACATAGAGTTCAATGACAAGGCCCCTTTAAACATTTCACACACCCATTTTTATAAACTCTCGAGGAGGATGCTACTGGCAGTTTGTAGTCTGTAGTTGCTCCCCGAGCAGAGGCACTTCTGCTATCATGCGCAGCCAATTTAATTAGCACTTTAATATCCCTATCTACTTGCATAAAGAGCAGCAATAACTTATTTAGCCTTATTAGACGTTTACCTTGTAGGAGTCTCATGGGCCTGACTCCTAATTTGAGAAGTGCACATTGTTGATGTCAGTTGCAAATGCTGTCTTCCCTCGTAAATGAGAAAGGTAGTGTTTTGTTTTGAGTGATTTTACAGATTTATTTTGCATTTGATGTTCAAATAAACACAAGTAAAAGCAATGTGGGTAAAATCTGATACTGTCTCAACAATAAATACAGCCTGCTAAAACTACATTCAAAGAGGTGTTGATTCATCTCTATGCTAATGTGTGGTACATTGGTTTTGCTGCATTCAATTGAGTTTTAAATAGAATACCCACCTAAAAACAGATTTGCCTTACCATAATTATTATTATTATATAAACATTACGATTGACATTGTATATGTGGCGACTTCAGGAAACAAACAAAAGTTGCTTGGAGGCTGAGGTCGGGCTTTGATTGACGCACTCAAAAATGAATTGCTGAGATCGAAAAAGGCGGTGAACCAAATTGTATTACAAAGTGCACTGAACATTTTTATTAAAGGGGCCCTATTATTTTCATTTCATTTTTCAAGGGAGACTTGCTGCAAGTAGGTTCCACATGAAGACATAAAAACATAAAATAACAAAAAGGACATCGTACAGCAAAGTTACAGGGATTACAACTTACATACCTATCGACATGTACAGGTACCAACAGCATCCGATTGTATAGCATCCAACCGAGCTTTAAAAACATTTAGTGGAACCAGATTGCTCAGTTTCCATTCCTTTTGCAGACTGTTCCAAGTTAGTGGAGCTGCACATCTAAAAGCTTTCTTCTCTAAGACAGTCCTAGCACTTGGCACATTTAATAAAACCACAGCATGAGATCTCAGGCAATAGCTACTTTCAGTTCGCCGTGAGATCAGGGAGCAGATGGTAGTTTACCTAACATGGCTTTGTAGATGAAACCAATGTACCAGTGACTGAGCCTCCGTGCAGTTAGTGAAGGCAAACCTGCCCTGGCATACAGGGTACAGCGATGAGTTAATACTTTACGGTTTGTCACAAATCTCAGTGCACTGTGATACGCAGCATCTAACTTAATCAGGTGCATCAGGTGCATTCATATAGATCAGATCACCATAGTCCAGCACAGGTAAAAAGGTCACAGAGCCTTTTCCTGGCCTCGAGTGAGAAACAGGACTCCTGTTTCTCACTCGAGGCCAGGAAAAGGCTCTGTGACCTTTTTACCTGTGCTGGACTATGGTGATCTGATCTATATGAATGCACCTGATGCACCTGANTGAACTACCTCTCTGAAAGGTCCCAATGTGTTCATTTTTGATGGGCTGTCTTCTGAGTGGTTAAAAATCACTAATGATTTTCTGACTTCAGACTGCTTTGGATATATAATTACACCACAATAAGGTTTTACTATCACAGTGCACTGAGATTTGTGACAAACTGTAAAGCACTTACGCATCACTGTACACTGTAAACCAAGGCGGTTTTGCCATCACTTANATAGCGTGCAAAGGTCCGTTTACCCCGGTTGTTAAACAACATTGTTATGGGGAAATGCAAGTTTGCTTCCAAATGGTTGGAAGATAAGGAGGAAGGACAATCAATACTGTATATAGTAAATGTGAGGTAAAGTGTGTCGCCAAGGTAACCGGTTAAAACTCAAAGTGGCGATGAGGTCTTAAAATGTATGGAAAGGGTCTTAAAAAAGGTCCTAAAAGGTATTACATTTGACTTCAGGATTCCTGCATATACCCTGATATACAGTACACATACATATATCACATATGCATTCATATTCATATAGACCAGATCACCATAGTCCAGCACAGTTAAAAAGGTCACAGAGACTAGCCTTTTCCTGGCCTCAAGTGAGAAACAGGACTTGTTTCTGAAAAAGAAACCTAGCTTCAACCTCTGCTTTCTAAGCAGATTATTGACCTGAAGTTTAAAAGAGAGGCAATTATCAAGCCAGATACCAAGGTATTTATAACATGTAACCACTTCAAGTACTGTCTTTGCATAGTAACAATGTATCCAAGGCGGTCTCCGGTGTTTTTTTGGTTTTTGAAAAAAGCATTACCTTAGTTTTATCAACATTCAAAATAAGCTTAAGCTCAGAGAGCTTCGTCTGAATGATATTAAAAACTCCTCCTTAATGGAGGGACCTGCACAATACATCACGGTATCGTCCGCATAAAAATGTAAAGTTGCTCCATCCACGTTTTGACCTAAGCTGTTGATGTAGATGGAGAATAAAAGTGGACCCAAAACAGAACCTTGTGGTACACCATTAGCAATGTTTAACCACTCAGAAGACAGCCCATCAAACTGAACACATTGGGACCTTTCAGGAGTCACCAACCACCCCCACTGCATGGCTGGATATGGGGTTGTGAAAGCCATTGCATATATCCTTCCTTGCCCATTATAAATCGGTTGTTATAGAATGGTGGTGAGGAATAGATGAAAGAAAGTGGGGGCTAACATTATGAGTCATTTAGCCTGACAGGAAATGGAAAGTTAAGTGTTTGAGAGGTTTTGTGTCAGCCGCCAGTAGTGGCAGATGATTGAGGGAATGCCTTACTGACGTTGGCAGGAGCTAGCAGGGGTAGAACATGACTCACATACCTAAAGTGGACTGAGCATGAGTGGGAAAGGCTCATAAAAGCTAATCTCCAACACCCCACATGCTACTACATCTGTTCAGCAGCTGATGTTATACCTCCAATTTAAATAGTATTTAGATCAGCGAGATGTGTTTGTGTTTATCATGAGATGAGTAAGCTCCCAGCTGTGGAATACATCAGTGACAGTAGGACTCGGGGAAACAAATACAGCAGACACATGCTAATTCACATTCTGCAGGGAAAATCACAAAGTGCCACATAACAGATCAACTGCAGAGCACAATATGTTTTTAATGCCAGATTTCATACAAGGTTTTATAGCTAATAAAATACATGCTAATGGATGCATGTACATTTCTGTAAAGCTCCACAAAGGCTTTTATGTCTGTGTATAAGGGCCACTATATGTCAAAAAGGAGTCTGGGAAAAGGTGGTAATATTTTTTCTGAGATCCTAAAATCGTAAATCTGCAAGAATTATTTTTCTATCTGGGATTTAAGTCACAAAATTATATTAGGAATTTAAACTACAGACTCACAGATCGCCAAAAGCAAATTAGAAGGTGCAACAGTTAGTACACAGTGATATCTTTCATCTATTCCTGATGCTAAAATATGTGGTTCCTTAACAAATAAGTAAATAGTTATTACATGTTTTACTCTCTAATTAATGAATATTCATCCTCAGACATTATTAATGTATTTTTCCCATTATTTCTGGATTTCCTTCTGGTAAATGTAGCACTTTAATCTCAGAGAACACCCACGTTTTGCGTTGTAAAATAAGTCACAAAGTACCCCCAGTCCCTAGCTTCATAACAAAAACAAAATGATCCTTCTAACCTTATACATTATCATGATATTCGTCATATTTTTTAGATTATCTTCTCTTGTGTGCCTTCTAGCTCCCTAAGAATGGAACCCTGTGGAGTGTGTACATGAACTTCAACCACAAGCGCCTGGAGCCATGGGAGGCGATCATCCCGTCGTTTAAATACAACAGCGAGCAGGCCTTCTTTGAGATGCTGGTCCCCACCACAGACACCGTGCGCTACGGCTACCTGATGGAGAAGCTGCTATCTGTGCGACGCTCTGTGCTCTTCACTGGCAGCACCGGAGTGGGCAAGGTAGGGAATAAGGGCTACATTAGCAACACAAGTAGCAACACATGGTTCCCCTCAGCAATAAAAAAAACATGAAATTACATCACAGTCACATGACTTCCATTCAACACCGCGAAGGTGAAGGCTGCTAATGTTGTATCATTCAGTCACTTTTTGGCAATCGCCGTGTTTATGACACATACAAGCTTCCGACATTCATTAGTGGGGTATTTAGGGAAGTATTGTATGTTGTAGAACAGAATGTCTATAAATGAACAAACAAGATGGTTATAAACAAGCTTCATTACGGTTGCATAACTTCATTAATTTATGTTTTTAAGACACAAGCTTTTCACCACTGGGTTATTTGCTCACGCAATTTATGTCTAAAACATGAAAATCTTGTAGGCATGTGTGAACCACAGACCTCATTTAATGAATCTAACCAGATACTCATTCAAAAAACCATTGGTTTTGAGAAAGGGAAAGACGGAAGTGCTGTCCTGTAAAATGCTACCTCAATTGCGGGTGAAGCAATCATTACTGCAACACTCTATTCAAGTTCCCCCTTTTATGGTTTCTGTAACCTGAGGGATATAGATATTTGACAGGCTGTGTCCATGTTTAAAATGGGTATTATAAAACGGACAAGTCAAATCAAGCAATCTGATTGGTTCTTAGCCGTGATATAATGAGCGTATATCACTGGTAGAATTGTAGTATCCCTCCGCGTCTGAGAAAAGCTACAACCGTTACAACTGTTACATTACGTCCGTTACGAAACTAACTAACTAACAAACCTTAAGATGAAAACATGTAAGGAATAATGTGCAGCAAGGACTTATTGACCGTTGTTAAAGGACGCTCACATCTGCAGAAAGAAGTCCGGTCGAGTTAACTGTATACAGTTGGGCTAAAAAGGGGAGCCGAACCACGCCCCTTAGCTGTGATATAATGACCATATACCATGGCCTGTCGTGAGCTATTGCTTAATTATATCGGTGTGACATTGTTGAAATATAGGTCTAATAACAGTGTAACATGGTTATAATGTCTAACAAACCCCCTTATAGACCCCCGCACACACAACAACACAGACAATGCTATAACACCACTTGCTGTGAAATACAAATAATGTGCAATATATTTAGTGCACATTATATGTGCCGTTAATAACTGTGCAATATATACCTGGCTGCTATATCTTCAGAACTGTTACAGGATGTGTATTTTGTAAATTGTTTAATTTAAATACAAAATATTGATGTGTGAATGTCCCTTTTCAGGGTTAACTGGACAATACATGATCTACAGTGGCTGTAGACAGCATTACAAAGTCTTTCTAACTATTTGTATTTGTCCTCCCCTCACAGTCAGTGGTTGCTCGAGGGCTTCTTAACAGTGTCCAGGAAAAGGAAGGATACCTCCCTGTCTACATCAACTTCTCCGCCCAGACCTCCTCCGCCCGCACTCAGGAGATCATTGAGTCTAAACTGGAGAAAAAGAGGAAAAACATCATGGGTATTTGCTGTACTTATAGACACATGCATTCCCAAACATTTGGTCTACCTATGCTGTAAATGTATTATCTCTTCAATTTAGACCAAATGTTTGGGAATGCATGTGTCTATAAGTACAGCAAATACCCATGATGTTTTTCCTCTTTNAGGTGTTGTTTCCTTGTTTAGCGATACACAGCGAAACACAGCCAAACTCATCCTGAGCACACACAAAGTCACAGCCGAAGTAAAAACAATAAGTGTGGCTTGATATTGAGTAAGAAAAAGGTTGATAAACGCTGTGAGAATGGGTCTGCAGAGAGAATTTTGCCGCGATCCCAACTGTCTGTTATCAGCCTGCAGCCAGGGAGGAGAGATCAGCAGAGCTGCCTGCACTGAGTGTGTGTGTGAGGAAGTATGTGGATTGGTCAATTTGGACCAATCAGCGGGGGCTTAACGTAACGGCTCCGCGGACGTAACGTAACGGCTCCACGGATTGGTCCATTTCGTTCTGGGTACGGTTGACATCATGCGTACCCGGAAGAATCAATGGACAATGAAGTATCTCCAACGAGGAGTTTTAGGGAGGTATTTTCTGTGTTAGAGTTTTACTCGCTACAGGGTGTACTTTGAGGGTTTGTGACTCTGCAGACCGTTTACATGCATAAAAACCTTCATAACACAGAAGGGGACGGGTAATAACCAGAAAAGCATGACATGGGACCTTTAAGACCCTGCGGAGACCCTGTATATGCAATGCATATATGAATGCACCTGCACAAGTTAGATGCCGTCTATCACAGTGCACTGAGATTTGTTACTAACTGTAAAGTATTTACTCATCACTTTACCCTGTATGCTAGGGCAGGTTTGCCTTCACTAACTGTTCGGAGACTCAGTCACTGGTACATGTTCATCTACAAAGCCATGTTGGATAAACTACCATCTTACATCTGCTCTCTGAGCACACGACACATTGAAAGTAGCTATTGCCTGAGATCTCATGCTGTGGTTTTGTTAAATGTGCCAAGTGCTAGGACTGTCTTAGGGGTGAAAGCTTTTAGGTGCGCAGCTCCTTTAACTTGGAACAGTCTGCAAAAAGAATGGAAACTGAGCATTTTGGTTCCACAGCATGTTTTTAAAGCTCGGATAGATGCTATGCAATCTGATACTGTTGGTACCTGAATGTCGTTAGGCATGTACATTGTAAATCCCTGTACTGTATCTATGTTGTATGATGACCTTTTTGTTTTCCTGTTGTTTTCTGTTTTCATGTGGAACCTACTTGCAGCAGGTCTCCCTTGAAAAAGAGATCGATGATCTCAATGGGATTCACCTGGTTAAATAAAGAAATGAAAATCATTCTGTCTGATTTACCTTTCCAATATGGTATTACTGAAGTTATTTCTAGAATGTACAATGTTAAATGTGATCTTTCTTGAAGGGAATTAAGGGTTTTCTGAAGTGGGGTTATAGGTGGTACTTATCAATTGTCAGTGTATTAAGTACAGTAGATGGAGGTCAGCACTACCCTATATTTTCACAGTTGTAAACCCAACCTACACCTTAAAAAACATATATTTACCAGACATGGGGAGTAAAGAAATACATGTAATGTAACTATGGATTTGTTTTCCCCTTTTCTGTAGTGTGTTATATAGGTTTTTGTAAATGGTGTGCAAAGGCTAAAATCCTAAAGTTACTCGAGTGTGTTTTTTCAAACTGGGGATGTGCTGACCGCCATTTACTGCAGGATACGTTACTCACGCAACTCCACTTCAAGAAATCGGGACTACCCCTTTAGTAATGTCTTAATTTCAGAGTGACTGATATCATAAAGAATAATTATTTGCCAAACTCCCTGAGCTCCCGCTCGATACATTCTGTGGCAAAAGTACTTTGATGTAATATCATATGAGCCTTCAGGCTTTTTCACATATTTCATGCTATTACCAGCAAATGCTTTGGTAAATGGATTTGACTTTGTAATAGCGATGAGGGGGAAAAGAGAAATGTCCTGAGTAGCAGAGAAGAGTTTTACAGCAGCTGTGTACGGAAGCCCTGAGAGCAAGTATGAAAAATAAAAAGTGGTGATCCATTTGATATATTATTAAAACAATGCTGTGTCTTCTTAACACAGAAGTAGATTTAAAAACAGTTAATTTTTTCAAGATACTTTTACATATATTTTTTAAAAGAATATGCTGGCAATAGGGGTGCATACCAGTTCCCGGTATTACCGAAATACCGGTTACTGGCGGCTACGGTATACCGTACAAAATCAGATCCGGTTTTCGATACTTTTTTTTATTTTTTATAAAAGTGAGGCGTAATATCGTTAAACTCGCGCCCAAACCGTCGGAATTACGATGTCAATTTCGCCGTGAAACTCCGCAAACGAGTCACTTTAGAAAATCTAAAGTGTATCTGCATATGACTGCCAGTCTGATGGTGGGGTCTGTAACCACTGCAATACGTTTATTTCTGGGAAAGGTGGCAACACATCCAACCTCCAACCAATGCTGTCTCGTATGACAACCAAGTACCTTTGTGTTCAGGGAAGCAGCGTGCCAAGCGAGAGAGTGTTCAGTTCAGCAGGTGATATCCTACGCTGTGAAAGGGCCCGTTCGGATCCAGAGAGCAGATATGCTCATCTTCTTGAAGATGAATGCACAAAACTGAACTGTGATGGGATTTGTTTTCTTTCATAAGGCAAATGTTGATTTTAATTATGCTATTTTGTTTTATGTGCAATGCGGAGATCTCATGATCCTTTATGTGTTCTCTGGTCAGTCGAATCTCAGGTTGAATATTGATTATACTGGTGCCATTTTATTTTTCCATTGACAAGATGTACTAAGTATTCACGCCTGATGGTTGATATAAATGATACTGCAGAATCAGTCTTCTTCATAGATAACGTGTTTTTCATGTTTGTTCAGTACTAAAATGTTCAAGTACCACAATTGAATTTAATATTAATTTGATATGCTAACTATATCATAAAGCGCTTCATGGGTTGAGTATCGGTATCGTTCAGTAGTATCGGTATCGTAAAAAAGTCAATGATATGCAACCCTAGCTGGCATGTATGTTTAAGCGTCTTCGAGCATTAGGAAAAGAGCTATAAAAATCCCATGTAGTATTATTATTATTATTATTATATGTACCTTAGCATTGTTGTTGCCTTCAAACTGATCCCTGATGAACGTGTCGAAAGCATCCCAGTTAGAATTGGTCAGGTTTCCGCCCACTGCCCACAGGTAGCAGAATATAAAGGTCTGACATAATACACTGTTTAGGTTCTTGGAATCCTGAAACACACACACAAACATAAAAAGGAATAACATTGGTTAGTAGGCTATGGGATTCACTCTTATCTTAAAGTGACAGTTACATCTTGTACCATTTGAAGATCTGGCCCTCCTTTGCCCAGCAGCAGTGCCTCCAGCAGGGAGCACAGAGAGGCCACTTTGCTGATGTCCACCTGTCGGATGGCCTGGGTGCAACGCTTCAACACGAACTGAAGACCCTTCTCCACATAATGCTCAAACAGCTCCAGCAGGTATGTCCGCACCGGCTCTGGGAGCTTGAGAGATGACATGGAGAGAAACAATTGATAAAAGAGAGGGAGGAGGGTTAGATTATTCAATAGTTGTCTGTCCTCATAATCATTGAGGCAACTTAGTTCACTTTAGTTATGTTCATGGTTCCTACAGCTTAAGGCAAAGGAAAACATTTTAAACAATTCTCTTTCAAATCCACTGAGAAATAAATGTAAGTACAACTTTACAATAAACAAATTTGAAGGAAAAAAATATATTGTTTAACTCCTCCTTCAGAGCGGCAGGCACATTAAGTCAAAAGACGTAATACTAATATACTGCTGCAAATGTGTTTTATATTGTAGTAAAATGTGCAAATTTTTACCTTAGCTTTTTATGTTTATATTTGTAATCTTGTGTTTAACTTTATCTAAATTGAATATTTTACTTTATCTTATGTTAATATAAATATTTATATTTTACCACATTTTTCACCAACAGCCTGAAAACCTGGACGTCAACAGGTGTGTGCAACAGTTCTTACTGTCCCCGTCTCCGTTGTGTTTGGAGCGTCTTGCTGTGTTTTGTATTCAGCGTAAATATCTCGTTAATACTTAATAATATGAATAAACCACTGTATATATTGTAATATACATGTTATGTATTGTAGTACAATGTGCACATTTATACTTTTACTTATTATGTTTACATACATTTATTTGGACTTTTTTAACATGTATCTTTATTTGAATTTGTTCTATACTTCTTATGTTAATATCTTTATTTTGTATACTGCACATTCTAACTTGAATTTGTTATTTTTATATTAATGTTCTTTATCATATGTTTTTTTGACTGACTGTTTGGCCAAAATGTATAATTTTACATACAAAATGTGCCCCTGTGGTTGCTACCGAGCATCTGCTCTCTGCAGCGAGTGATGGGGTCGTTTTGTGCGTGACGTAAACGCAAGAGACATTATATAAAATAGCGTATTTCCAAAAAGGTTAAATTAGACGTTTCCTTGAACAGTTATTGCATCTGGAGGAGAGTGTGGGACAGAGCACAAAGAAAATGAAAATAAGAATAATTACGGTCAATGCACTTCTAGTCCCGAGAGATACAGGGAGAGAGGCTCTCTTAGACAAAATGTTTTTTTTTGGAGAAGGTAGTTTTACTTTAGGGGCCCTTTTAGGCTTTCTGGGGTTGTCCCTTCCCTGTAGCTCTATAGGATGTTGTGCATGTAAATGGACTGCAAAGGCTAAAATCACAAATGTCCCTCCATGGGGAGTTTCTCTCCCACAAACGGCGGTTCAATCTCACTTCCTGCAGTCAACATTTCCAAATGTCCTTGGGCAAGGTACTTAATCCAACATGACATGGTATTGAAGACTTTGGATAAATTGTCAGCCAAATAAAAATAATGTAATGTAAAAATGACAGCTTTAGATATGTATACTATCATCAAACAGATTAGTCTCAGTTAATCAGACAGTGAGACAGAGTTAAACAATAAGAGAGAGTTAAAAGTTAAGAGGAAAGCTGACTGGCTCTCACTGTGAAGCCAAATCACCCAGAAAAAGCTGCTGCAAGCTATAAACTTTGATGTGATGTTATTTTCTGTCATCAACGTTTATGCTGAAGCTTAAGTTTCTCTGCCTGTAATGCCTGAAATGGCACATTACCTTTCATCTACCAGTGCTCAAACAGCCACAGATTCACACACATAGAATACTAAATTAGATGATATCCTCTAATGTAGTGGTTTTTCACCTTTTTGAGCCCCGACCCCTAAGAATAATAACAGTGTGCACATACTGAAGTAAATGCATTATAAGCTGGTAAGTGGTTGTCTATTTATTTTTGTCATTTTCTTTCCTTCTAGAAAACCATCTGGAGACTAGCATAAATGACCCTCCAGGTTGAGAATCTCTGTTCAAATACAACAAGCGTGATTTGAGCCACTTTGAAAGGCCTTTTTTCTTCACTGATGAGGAGTGTCCTACCTTGGCTTCTAGACCGCTGATCCACGTCTGGACATAAGGCATCCACTTGAGCTCATTTGGGTCGATATACACCATCCCACAGCGACTGACGGTGGCTGGAGATGCTACAGACAAGTCCTGGACCTGAAAAACATGGTTTAACAAACTATGTTTTAGTATAAACCTATGCTTAAATATATTCAAACCTTAAACCTCATATATCTCTTCAAATATATACAGAAAACAGACACAGGCATTGGCTGTCTGACAATAGCTGATAAGACACAAGACATAGTGCTCTTTGGTATGGGAGGTCAAGGAGAAAGAAAGTCAGAGACAGTGTTGTTTTGACGAATATTCCATTAAAATGACTCAAATTCAGATAGAGAAGCTTACTACAGGCCCTGTGCAGGATACGAGAATGGCATGGCTTGAGAATTGGGTGTCCTGGTTGTTTGTCATTGTCACAAAGTGGTGCGATCATTAGGTCTCAGATTATAAAAATGACATGTATAAATGTATTTTTAAATGGTCTTCAACATGTAATAGAAGGAAAAGCAATGGGTGTATTGGTATGGGTTAGATAACTGTGGCAGGTCTGCAAAAAAAGCATCACTGTGCATAAAAAGGAGTGTTGACAAATCCAAGAATGTTGTTATTTGCACAAGTAGCATGCATATTACATTAACGCAGCGTCCACACGGCGGCGTGCGTTGAAGTTTGCAGATCTGGACCAAATCAGCCGTTTCAAAAACTGCTGTCCCCAGTGTAAACGCACAAACTCATCTAGGTACAGACTGAAGCAGAAAATATGAAACTCAGCTCTAACCTCGAACAACATGTGTATGGATGGGGTGAGTTTGATTCGCTCGCTGTTGGCCATACAGAGCATCTTGTTGTCGTCCAGCACCGTGTTCATGTTCTCGATCCACAGGGCGTCCACCGGGCCGTCGCAAATCACCCACTTGTGGTCGTCGGTGGTGTCGTTTACCGCGTGGCGGACACTCAGCGCCATCAGTCCGTCACGCCACTCCATTGTTAACGTGTTAACCTAAGAAGTTGAGGAAAATAATGAACGTGTAAGAAGGGAACCGGAGGAAAACAAGAATACTTTACTTTTATCGGGGGACATTGGGTTTTCGTTGGTATGCTCCATTTTAGAATTAATTAATTAATACAAAAATAAATAAATATAGTGTTTAAATAAAATAGGAACATTTATTAAAATTGAAAACAAAACTTTATGGATATACAGTAGGTAGTTAAACCAAGAATGCACAACAAAAAATTGAGAACAACGAAATACAAATATAAATATTGAGTAAAATGTCCATATAAAGATTAAATAAAATGGAATAAAGATATTCATATAAAGATAGGTTTGATCAAGAATGTCATAAAAGGCTCAATAAAAAAATATATATAAACAAAGTAAAATGTTCAATAAAACATAAAATAAAAATAAAATGAAGAGAAATATGTATATAAAGTTTAATTAAGAATGCACAATTGTAAGATACATACATATAAAAATAGAATAAAATATGTATATCAACAGAAGGCGTTAAAGTTCAATGTGCACATATAGACAATAAATAACATGTCATGACTTCCTGTGGCGCATCTTGGTGGAATGAGTGCCTGAGCAGAGTGTTGTGGAGTGGTGTGGAAACAGGAAGCTGATGTGTATCTGATTTTCCTGTCCTACAGTACCTCTCCGTAGAGCTCTCCCATGGTGACAGATTTGGGGTTGAGGATGTAGGTCTTGACGTGCTGAAAGAAGGGGTTGTTAGCCTTGTGCCCCGTGGCCTGGAGAGTCTCCAGTGTGTCTGCCAGGATTCTGTACACCGTGGTCTTACCTCCACCTGTAGGCCCCACCAACATGACACCATGACGCACTAACATGGTCTCATACAGCTGGATCACCTGGTCGAATGGAAAGAAGAAGTAGAAAGGAGGACATGTTTTGAGAATGGACCGAGTTTCCAAAACAAAATAAATGCATTCAAGCCTACAACTTATTAAAGTGGAACAAACACGAAGCATCTGAATTATATTTGTTTATTCTTGTTGTATTTTTGATATTTTGGGTGAACAAACCTTAAAACTGTACACAGTAAATAGAAAACACCTTCCACAGATGCAAAACAAAAGAATTCTGAACTCAGATAAATGTTTTGCAAATTTAAAACGGATCTGCAAATCAAACAAATTCCACAAATAATGAAAACAGTCTGTGCATACATTAATCTGATTCACTACCAAATGAAAAGCATTCCTGAATATCTTCCACTTTTTATCAGACATTTATGAATCCGGTTTTTAAATTGCAAATTCAAATTGGATTTGTGTATCTCAATTCTACACAGACCGAGCTTCGAGACATATTATCAACCGGTCTGAAAGAAAATCAACTCTTCCCACTCAGCCATTTTCAGGTAGCTCGCGATGGCCTGCTGATGACGTGGCTTCTGCATTTCAAAGACTGAAGATGACCATTTATTTTAAATAACCAGTGGCAGCATTCAATATTTGTATTATGTAAATGCGCGTAAGTATTATGGGTTTATTGGTTTCATATTATAATAGAGCACAACATTGAAATGATTATTACTTTGGTTGGCAACTTGCAGTCCCAGGGACAACAAACTACTTATCTTCTATGTATACTGTAATTTTCGGACTATAAGGCGCACCTGAATATAAGCCGCAGCAGCTAAATTGAATGATGTGTACATATATAAGCCGCACTGGACTATAAGCCGCAGGTGTTTTAATGTTTAATTACCATATGTAAGGGTTCGTGCACAGACGGGATTGTCGGGAAAGAGATGGCTGTTTGAGGAAGCTCCCATTTGTTAACATTTCAACAAACAAGTTGCATATTTGCATAACGTATTCAAGTGTTACCATTTAGTGCAATAGCAG